TGTCCGCGATCGGCACGCGAAGCAAAATCAATTTTACACCGCCCTATAAACAGGAAAATAAAATGAATGCGCAATGTCAAAAATGCGGCAAAACCGGGCATTATGGTCAAAATTGTCGAACTAGTCAATACGCGAACCGATTTTCATTGCCGAAACGCAATAGACAACCCCGCGTAAATACGGTAAATAAATATTGCAATTATTGCAAAAAATCCGGACACGATCGCGAAGAATGTTGGCTATTACACGGATGACCCAATAGAGATCAATCGAGCAGAACCAAACAATATAATTCGCGACCGGAAAATAAAAACCGCAAGAATAGCGAGCAAGGAAAGAAAGAAATTTAACTCCGCGCAAAGTAGCGATGAGGAGGAAAGGAACGAAAGAAAGTCGCACCGATCTGCAATTGAATATCAAATATCACATATTAAAAATACGCCGCATATACAGACAGGATTGGACCTTGTCACATTACCAATGCGAGAAGCGAAACGCGAAAAAATAAATTTGCTATTCGATACAGGAGCCGCAATATCACTAATTAAAGTGAAACATTTAAAAGGCGAAACGTTAATAGAAGAAGAAAAGATAACGTTCACCGGCGTAACGGGACATAAGATATGTACAATTGGAAAATTTGAGGCGACAATAACTCTGGAAGAGCGCCGAATCAAGCACGCTATGTACGTTGTTAAGGATGACTTTCCGATAGAATATGACGGAATACTAGGAATTGACTTCCTACAAAAACATCAAGCCACTTGCAATTATAAAACAAAACAATTAAAGGTAGGACAGCAGTAGGGTATATAGAGAGTTCTAACGCAGGTCCTCTGAGGGGGGGTGAGGGGCGAGGAGAAACCGGCGCGGGGGGTATGACGTCACGCGGGGGAATCGCGTCCTAACCGGTAGGCGAGGGGTCCGCGGAAAGGAGGAGGGGAATCCGCAGCGAAACCGATAGGTGAGGGACCCGCTAACCTAACCGGTAGGCGAGGGGTCCGCGGAAAGGAGGAGGGGAATCCGCAGCGAAACCGATAGGTGAGGGACCCGCGGGGAAGAGGGGGATCGCGGCGAAACTGATAGGCGAGGGACCCGCGGGGAAGAGGCAACGCGAAGGTACGATGCCGCAAGGAGGCGTGGGAGAAGGATAGCGCGAGGCGTCCATATGAGCGTAAGACAAGGATAGCGTTTGCATGCACGTTGGAAAGAGATGGCGCGAGGCATGCACTTGGGAAAGGGATAGCGCGAAGCATGCACTTGGGAGAGAGAGAGATAGCGCTAATGATATTCTATGGGCGTGGGAAAAGAATAGCACGAGGCGTCTATATGAGTGTAAGACAAGGATAGCGTTTGCATGCACGTTGGAAAAGGATGGCGCAAAGATATTGCTTGCATGTGGGAGAAGGATGGCGAAAGAGAGAACCAGCGCGAGGCATGCACGCATGTGGGAAAAGGAAAGAAGGAGGCGCAGAAATAATTAACACTTTAATTTTAATAATAATATTAATAATAATGTTTATTCAATAATTGTGTGTATAATATAAATGTGTGTGTGTGTGTGTGTGTGCGCGCGCGCGTGCGCGCGTGTGTGTGCCTGTGTGTGTGTGTGTTTAAAAATAATAATAATAAAAATAATAATAATATAAATATTAATAATAATAGAAATATAATATAATTTAATGGTGACGCTCCATCTGAAACAAACAAACAAAGAAAACGACTTTCGAACGGCTTTGAACAGCTATCGAATGGTTTTGAACGGCTATCGAATGGTTTTGAACGGCTATCGAACAGCTATTGAACGGCCATTGAACGGATAGGAACGACTATTGAACGGCTATCGAACGGCTATCGAACGGCCATTGAACGGCTATCGAACGGCTTTGAACGGCTATCGAACGGCTTTGAACAGCTATCGAATGGTTTTGAACGGCTATTGAACGGCCATTGAACGGATATGAACGACTATTGAACGGCTATCGAACGGCTTTGAACGGTTATCGAACAGTTATCGAACGGCCATTGAACGGCTATGAACGACTATTGAACGGGTACCGAACGGCTATCGAACAGCTTTGAACAGCTTTCGAACGGCTATCGAACGGCTATAAACGACTATTGAACGACAAAACAATTATTTATACGCAATTCAAAGTGTGTGTGTTAAAAAATAATAATAAAAATAATAATAATAGTAATCATATTCGTGGGAGAAGCTTGGCGTTAATGATATTCTATGAGTGTGGGAGAAGGATAGCGCGTGGCGTCCATATGAGCGTAAGACAAGGATAGCGTTCGCATGGACGTGGAAGAATAGTGCGAGGTGTTCGCATAGACGTTGGAGAGAGATAACGTAAGGCATCCACGAGTAGGAAAAAGATAGCGTACGGGTATGAGAGGGATAACGCGTGAGTGCTTACGAGTAGAAAAAGGATAGCGTAAGGGAATATGGTGGAGGCGCAGAAATAATCGACACTCTTTTAATAATAATAATAATGTCTATTTAATAATTTGTGTGTGTGTGTGTGTGTGTGTCTGTGTAATATAAAAATATATAAAATATAACAATATAAAAATATGTAAAAAGATATAAAAGTAAGGCTCTTACACGATTAAAATCAAGAGTTGCTCGCGGCGACATATTAATCATCTCTTGAGCCATTTTTATATTTTTTTACTTCATTTAACTTCTCTCAAAAACTGTACTTGAAGACTGTCAGACACTTTATGACGGACACAACGGGGTAGACATCATCTCGTTTAAACATTTTAGAGTAGCAGAGATATCACTTACAAAGAACGCTTACCTTCTGCACTTGATAAAAAAACAAAAGTTAGCATGTTTCCGCAGAAAACTATCTATGATTACTATTATTATTATTTTTATTATTATTTTTTAACACACACACTTTGAATTGCGTATATGCTATCTCTCTCTCTCTCTCATATGCATGCGAACGCTTCGCGCTATCCTTCTCGCACCACCTTACGAACGCCGCATCATCCATGTGCATGCCTCGAGCTATCTCTCTCTCTCTCTTAAGTGCATGCGGACGCCATCCTTCTCCCACATGCATGCAATATCTTCGCGCCATCCTTTTCCAACATGCATGCAAACGCTATCCTTGTCTTACGCTCATATAGACGCCTCGCGCTATCCTTCTCCCACTCCCATAGAATATCATTAGCGTTATCTGTCTCACACCTACTCGCGGACGCCTCGCGCTATCTTTAAGTGCATGCCTCGCGCCATCTCTCTCCACCGTGCATGCAAACGCTATCCTTGTCTTACGCTTATATGGATGCCTCGCGCCATCTCTCTCCACCGTGCATGCAAACGCTATCCTTGTCTTACGCTCATATGGACGCCTCGCGCTATTTTTCTCCCACGCCTCCTCGCGGCATCGTACCTTCGCGTTCCCTCTTCCCCGCGGGTCCCTCGCCTATCGTTTTCGCCGCGATCCCCCTCTTCCCCGCCGTTCCCTCACCTATCGGTTTCGCCGCGGGTCCCTCCCCCTCTCCGCAAACCCCTCGCCTACCGGTTAGGTTAGCGGGTCCCTCGCCTATCGGTTAGGACGCGGTCCCCCTCCCGCCTTTCCGCGGACCCCTCGCCTACCGGTTAGGACGCGATTTCCCCGCGTGACGTCATATTCCCCGCGCCGGTTTCCCCTCGCGCCTCACCCCCTCCTCAGAGGACCTGCGTTAGAACTCTCCTATATATCCTACTACATATCTTAAAGCTTTACCCCT